CGTCTAGTTTCAAATGCCGCTAACGGCACTTGATTTCGACGTCAGAGTACGGAGTTATGGATGAAATACGAACACTGGTTTGGATTACGACGAAACCGTTTTCCAGATTACTAGCTTTGGGAATAAATTCGTTTGACCAACCAAAACTCAGTATTTTTCAATGAAAATTTTTACACAACTACTACAACATATAAACAACACAATCAAGCCATTAAATCCTCAAATTTTTGCATTAAAGTGACCGAACAGAGCAGGGGTAAAATGGAAATTTTTTGCTTCAAGAGCTCAATGAAGTTTCTGGCGATAATGCACCTTTAATCTACTCCCTTAAGCACTAATTCAACAATAAAACCATCATCAAACATCATCACAGCCATCAACTCAAAGTGGGAGTTCATAGAGCCCACATTTAACAATTTCTAACAATAATAAGCTACCCATAAGCATAATCAAGCTCTTAAGTGTGAGTTGGCCTTCAATGAACAAGATTTGAAGTGTGGATCATGGTTACCTTACTTGTGTGCTAAAAGGTCAGATTTTGGTGTCCAAAAGCCCCAAGAAAAACCGTGAATGTGCAGCTCCTTCTTTGTCCAAGTGATTGTCTAAGTGAAGAGCTAAGTGTGTGTGAAGTTTTGGTTGAATTTGGTGGAGTTTGTAGAGGAAATGGTGGAAGTTTTCGGTTGCTCTTTGCTGCAGTTTGCTAGCCGTCCATGAAGCTTGCAGATATGAATGTTAGTCTGATTCCTTTTTGCGTACAAAGAACGCCGACCGTCTAATATTTTAAGTACGAAAAATTTAATTGCAACTAGTGCCCTACTCGCGCGTTTTGTGTTCAATTTCCCTTAAGTTTGTTGCACTAGTGCACTAAACCTCTAGGGCACTTACATTCATATAAATATTATTCATTCTTTATTGTCCCAAAATAATTGTCCAAAGTCTCTCAATTAAGCGCGCACGTGAAAACACGTATTTCCAATTTAGGCGCAATAAAATGAAACCTTCGAGAAATTCTTATAACGATCGTACCACTAGCTATCACTTGTGTGCTTAAACCTAAAATTGTCTATTTTAGGACCATTGTATATGTCTCAAATTTTTGAACTTATTTTATTCCCAATTGGCTAAAGTGTTTGGACACGTTTTCACCTTTTCACTAAACAAGCTTATAAGAAAATAATTTTTGAAACGAGACACTTTAAAAATATAACGAAACTATAAAACCATGTACTTAGGTCTAATAAGGCTAGAAAATATTATTCGTGGCAAAAATCTAAATAAATAATTAATTTAGCCAAAATTAGGGATTTTAAAATAATAATTTTACGAGTCCTCACGTGAATTGAGTATTAATTCCTCCATTAATCTTTCTTAATCTATTATTGATCGTTCTAAATTCTCCAATAAATAATACACTCCCGATTCAAGTATGGCCTAGAAAACGTGCACCCGTCGTTCCGGACTAAACAAATTTTCGAAAAGCGAATTTTTCAACAAAACGCTTTAAAAATATAAAGAGACGTCATTCCATATAAATGGATTTAAAATGGTCGAAATAAATAATTCGAAGAAAATGAGTGAATAATCATTTAAATATTCCAGTAATATTCTATAAAAATAAGAAAATTTTCGGGTTCTCACATGTTCACTCTCTGTTTTCCTTCCTTTGCTGTTTTCTTTTTGCTCTGACCCACACTTCCCTTAGCTTTCTTTCTCAGCCCGTTTACTCCCTATCCCTCTTCAGTTTTCTCAACCTCCGCCGCAACTCCAGCTCTCTGATTTCTTCCTTACCTCGTCGTCAAAATCTCCCTCCTGTCACTCCAAAAAAACCCCCTCCTTTTATAACAAACAAAAACACTAAATCCTCCTCTAAAGGGTTCTGATGGAAGCCAAGTCATTCGCTTTGTGGATCATCCGATGGTGAATAAAAAACAAGGAGTTGCGGTGCCTTCCTGATCCTTTTTTCCGTTTCTCATTTTCTGCTTGAAACGTTATATGAAGAAATGGGCACAGATCCTGTGTAGCTCGGATGCATGAGCTCTTCTTTTTTTCTCTTTTTTTTCATGAATCATTTAATTAAACAACAATAACCAAAAATAACATTTTAAATAAAAAACTTGAATAAAATGAACAAAAACTAGGAACAAAAGATAAAAGAAAAGGCTGAGATTTTTTCTATGTTTGCTTAATGATTTTCCCTCTCTTTTTTCTTTTTTTTTTTCAATTAATAAACAGTAAAAAAAGAAATAAAACATATTTCATATTTTTTTTTGTGAATAATTTTCTCTTTTGACAAATTTTATGCTAAAAGTCTTAACAATAAAAATAAACAGCTAAAAGGGCAAAAACGAATACAAAAATAAAAATAAAAAATAACATAAAATAATAGATAATAATAATAATCTAAAATGTTATACAAATGCTAAAAAAAAGTCTAAAACCAAAAACATGAAATTAACAAATAAAAATAGATAAGAATTATCACTAAAAACCAAAATAAAATAGAATAAAAATTATTTAAAAATTTGGTGTCTACACTGTGCAAGTCTTATCGCGCGACTTCAATGTGAAAGAGTACTGAATTACCAAATGACCTCTTCCTTTTAACGCTTTCTTCCTCCCTCTCAATTAATCAAACGTGACTTCATGTCCCCTCCATCTTCCGCCATTCTTCTAACCTCTCCTGAATTTTAGGCCTTTCCTATTTCCTTTCCCGACTACCATTTCCTGACTCTTCGACTCCATTGTGATTGCATTGGTGATGTGTTTGATGAATTTGGACAGAATTGAATCTCAGTCAACTAAGTTGTCTTTGAATCTGTTGTACTATACAAATTTGGGCAGAAGACTGAATCTGTCCAAATTTGTATCGTTATCAGTTTTTAGGAGTTAATGAAAACATGTTGTAGTCAAATGTGGTCCCCCATCTCACATATAATGAATTATTTATTCTGGATCTGTTGTATTATGTTCGCTTGTTGTATAATTGTGAAAGATAAATTACTGAAAAATGAGTATTTTATTGTTTGTCATGCAACAGCAGAGGAGAACAACAAGGATAAAGTAGACATAAAGATGTACTTTGGTGAAAAATTCAAAGAAAAACCAAGTCTCCACTACACGGGAACCCACATGGCCATTTTAAAAGAAAGAGTTGAAGATAAGGTAGACATGGTAAGTTTGTGCAGAATGTTTAAGAAAGTAGATGAAGGAGCAACGAGAACAACGTTTTGGTTTTGTGCCCCCTTTGTTGATTTGGATGGTGGCCTACATCCAATTAGAAACAATGATGATATTAAATTGATGAATTTAGCATATGAGGGGACACCAGAAAGACTAATTTATGCTTGCAGTAGGGATGAGCCATTTGAGAAAGAGCCTGAAGATGGTGGGGTCAATGATAGTACATCTACAAAGGAAACATCCAGCGACACAACAATAAAAAAGAAAGGCAGTGATACAAAGGATGGTGGGGTATCTGTAGTTACTACAGGGACAAATACAAGTGTTGATGATGATGAAGAGCCAGAATGGTTAAAAGAGGGGTTGGAAACAATAGAAGATGAGGACATATTTGCACCCAAGAAAGATGCCGCAGGAGACAACAACCAGACCAATATAACTAGTGGATGCAACAACTAAAAAGCTGATGGAGACAAGGACAAAGCAGATGGGGCCACTGTTTCAGCAAGACTACCTCTGCACGTATTCTCATTTGCTGAGAATAAAGATGAAAAAAGTGCTGCTAAAAGTGTGGATGCAAGGAAGAAAAAGACAAGTAAAACCAAGCAATCAAAAAGGCCTGACGTGATTCAGAAAATTCCACCAACTATTTCAACTCAAATACCATCACAAATTCCATCAGAAGATGAAGCTGTTAGAACTGAAAAAGACCCTTCAACAGTTGGAGATCCAGATTTGAGAGCAGACACACAATAGCAAGTAAATGATGATGTCATTGAAGAGAATTGGCAGGAACCAGTGATTGAGGATGAGGAGTTGCTGGATGCAAGAAGATGTGATGGTAGAGAAGATGATGATTGCCTTGACTTTAATCCTGAAGTTAAGTTTAAGAAGCCAAACTTTGAGTTGAAAGTGGGGCAGAAGTTTACTAATTTCAGAGTGTTTAGATTTGTGTTGCGTGAATGGCTAGTCAGAGAAGGATATGAAGTTACTTGGGTGAAAAACTACTCCAAGAAAATTATTGCCAAGTCTGCAAAAAGCTGTACATGGAGGACTCGTGCAACACCAATTCAAAATGAATCAACCTTTCAAATAAAGTCATTGAAGGGCGAGCATGTGTGTGCTCGAGAGTATAAAAACAAGCATGCAACAGCTGCATATTTGAGCATCAAGTATCAAGATAAGTTCAGGGATAATCGAAGAGGTGATTTGATGGGGCTGAAGAATGACATCAGGAGAGACTTAATGATCAATGTTTCAATTGCTAAGGTCGGCAGAGCTAAGCGTAAGACAAAGGATATGATGCTTGGCACGGACATGGAGCAGTATCAGAAACTTTGGAGTTATGCAGCGACAGTCCGAGACACAAATCCTGGAAGTACTGTCAAGATTCAGATGGACAGACCAACTGAAGGTTCAAATGGGACATTTGAAAGATTATATTATTGCTTGCATGCATGCAAGCAGGGTTTTCTTGATGGTTGTAGACCAATAATTGGTCTAGATGGCTGTTTTCTTAAGACAGCATTTGGTGGCCAATTACTGTCTGTACTTGGGAGAGATGGCAACGACAACATGGTGCCAATAGCAGTTGCAGTGGTTGAGGTAGAGAGGTATGACTCCTGGAAATGGTTTTGGAGTTGTTAATGACTGATTTGGGCATGGGAAAGGATAACATTCCTTAGACATTTATCTCAGATAGACAGAAAGGGCTAGTACATGCTATGAATGAACTTTTTTCAGATTCAGAACATAGATTCTGCTTGAGACATATGTACCAAAATTTCAACCAAAAGTTCAAAGGAAAAGAAATGAAAGACATGTTCTGGGCTGCTGCAAGTGTTGGCAATGAAAAGGAATGGAAGGTGACAATGAATGACTTGGAAAAGGCAAACAAAGAAGCTGCTGAATGGCTGAACCGGATTCCACCAACTCTGTGGAGTAGATCACATTTTAGAGGAAGTAGTAAGTGTGACATTCTAGTGAACAACCTAAATGAGTCATTCAACAATTATATATTAGAAGCAAGAGAGTTACCAATCATTGGGATTCTTGAATGGATAAGGAGAAAGCTGATGCATAGAATTCAAAAAAAAAGATCTGGAATGCAAAAGTTTCATGGACAAATTTGTCCAAATATAGCAGAAAAGATTGATAAGAATCAAAGGTTGAGCCGGACATTTGTTGCGACATGGGACGGACATCACAAATATGAGATAGATTGTGGTCCGAGAAAATGTGTGGTTGTTGATTTGCATGAATGGACTTGTACCTGTGGTTATTTTCAACTAACAGGTTATCCTTGTGCCCATGCATGTGCTGCAATAGGAGTGTGTAGATTACCTATTCACGATTATGTTCATGCTTGCTACACTAGAGTAGAATATCTGAAGACATATGCACACACTATCACACTTGTTCCAAGTGATACCTACTGGATAACATGTGAACAAGAGGGCTTAAACCCCCATGCAGTTAGGAGAATGCCTGGCAGACCAAAGAAGATGCGTCAAAGAGCACAAGATGAGCCTAAGAAGGGTCAAATATCAACTAGAAAGGGTCTATCTGTGCATTGCAAGAGATGTTTTCAGCCAAACCATAACTCACGGACGTGCAAGAATCCCATTCACCCTAACTCCAAATTTTACAAGGTAATCTTTCATTGTATACTTAAATGGCATTGTTACAGCATCTGTATTTATTATTACTAATGTTAAATGCTCTTTGTAGGCACCTGAAGCAAGTGTTACAACTTCCATTCAATCACCGCCAATTGTTGAGTCATCTACTGAACCATAGTCATTTACTGAAGAGGCTGCTGCAACCGGAACTACTACAAAGACAAGCACTAAGGCTCGGAAGGTGTACACTCCTTCCATAACATTCACTAGTTGAAAGACTTATTAGTTCAGTGGGACATTTCTAAATTGTCTTTTTGTTTTAATTATAGTCTGTAGCTGGTACAAACCAAGGGTGTAACAGGGCTGATGACACCACTGCACCAACAAAAAGAGCTCTGGCTCGTACTGTTACTGATGTCCTGCAGAAGTTAAGGCCAAAGAGAGCAAAAGCTATCCAGCCTTAATTACTTGCCTAATATTTGCCTATCTGTATTTAGACTTTCATTTTGGAATATTACGTCTGGTTGTAATGATGCCTGAAGAATGATTGGTTGCCTGTAGAACGTCTGGAAATCTTTTGTCTAATTTTTTGTACACTTGACTTGGCAGTAGTTGCCATTATTTGGTTGTACCTTTTGAATGAAGTTCTCTGTGTAGCCAGGTTCTTTTACAGAAATTTTCCACCAAGTGCTAAACCTTTTGTCTGTAATGGCACTTCGTGCCTCTTTGATCACTAGTTATTTTACAGGTTATTGAACGTCTGGAAATATTTTGTCTGTAATGGCACTTCGTGCCTCTTTTATTTTTTCTGTTCATTTTTCTAAAACATTTGCTTATGAGTATTCTATTCAAAGTTTTAAACTACAGCATTTTGAAAGCAGTTGAAACAGTCGAATTATACTTCATCAAGAAAGCATAGCATTACAAGGTTCTAGCTGAAACAGCCAAATGATCAGCTTTAGCAACTTCATACAACTAGCTACCAAATTCCACAGTCTTATTTGGTAGATATCAACAACAGTAAAACAGCAAAAGCAAATACCATAACACAACCTCGGACTAGAAATTTTAAGTTCTTCAACTCATTATCCAAATCCAGTTTTGAGAGCACGCCATCCACATAGGAATGTTCTTCAACTAGTTGGCTCACAAACTGATTTTCCCGATCTGGTTCATCTCTGTAAATGGGATTACACCAAGAAAAGAACCTACATTCATCTTTTTTACACACAAAATATAACATTCCCTTTGATGGCTTTTCCGACTCAACAATCTTTAGTTTCACCTTCCTTCGACAATTACACATCTTGTACTTGTATCGAAGATCTCTAGCTCCGTTTCCCCCACTGCCTGGTCGAGAGCTTGAGGAAGACATCATCGTACGGTTTCTTAATTATTCCCTTCACTATTTACACAAAGAAAAATATAGAGTTTATTATAAGAATTTATTGATATTCCAAATGGTTAAAGGTTTTACCTCTTGAAACTTGCACTTAAGGAGGCACGAGCCTGCAGATTTTCTTCCTCAATCTTAAGGAGGCACGAGAGCTTGAGCAATTCTTCGGTCAAAGAAGCTGGGTTGCTGCAAAATGCCGAAGAAGCTGATTGGCTTGAAGTTTTAATAAGTTGTCAAGGGCACAAGAGGTATATCAGCTCAAACTTTGAGTTAAAAAACCATTTTTCGAAGCAACCACGCTCCTTTTCAGTACGTGGTTGATAATCGCGTTTCCTTTAACGATTTCCGTCGAAAATACACTTTCTTTCAAATCATGGGGTACCGATAGGTATGATTTGAAACCACAATGGATTTTTATGTATAATAGCTATACCACAGGGGATTTTTATGTTTTTAACCCTTATATATAATATGTAATTTAATTAGTTATAAACTTATGATAATGATATTATTAGTTAGATGTATTATATAATGTATATTAGTGTATGTAATATAATTGATATTATCAATTATATGAATAATTAGACATGTCTACTAATAGAATTTATTAATTAGTTATAGTAAATTTACTAATACATTTATACTAAATTTCTAATTACACTTAATAGAATAACAATTTTTTCTCAAAAAAAAGCACAAACACAATAATGAATTAGTGATTGTATTTGTACCAAAAGTGAAAACTTGACTATTTTAGTTGTATTTATTTCATCATGTTGGATTGTATTCAAATAACTTTTGTTTGATTGTTTTTATGAGTTTCAATTGTAAAATTACAATGAATAATAACTTGATGATGTGTTGATATTTTGGTACTTGATTATTTATTAAAAGTTAACTATAATAAAATTTTATTAACCCCACGAGGAAAATTTTATTAACCCCACAGGGGAAGCGGGGCGGGGCGGGGGGAGTGAGAGGCGGGGGTCGGGGGGAATTAATAGGCAACGGGGCGGGGGGCGAGGGAGGCCTTCCCCGTCCCAACCCCGCCCCGTTGCCATCCCTAGTTACACTTGCTGAAAAGCATATATGTGTCTGTGTATATAGCAACAACGATCATAGGCAAATGAGTGGTGACATAATAGTTGAGTACATTATCCCCCACATAATGAATGGGCCAGTATATAGGATCAAAGAAATACAAACGACAGTAAAAAAAGAATTTCACTTTGACATTTCATACAAGAAAGCATGGTATGGCAGGCGTGGGGCTATAGATATTGTCTATGGCTATTAGCCTACGTCCATTGCACAGCTTCCAATGTATGTTCAGGAATTACAATATACCAATTCGAGTACAGTGGTTGTGTGGGATCATCATCCACTGAGTATTCCGACCAATCCGATATTTGACTACATCTTTTGAGAATTTGCTCTTGCCATTTAAGGGTTTCGTCATTTAAAACCCATCATTTGTATAGATGATACATTTCTTATATCGTGGAAAGCTACTAAGTGCTGCTACTTTCGATGCTGAAAATTATTTATTTCCTTTGGCTTTCGCATTAGTAGATGAGGAGAATAATCGCAGTTGAAATTGGTTCATGAGACTATTGCGTATTCACATGTGTGTTGATATTCACAATATATGCGTAATTTTAGATCGCTACCATGGAATAATCAACGCAATGAGGACGCTCCCAAAATAAAAATAACCACTAGCAGTTCATCGATTTTGCTTGGTTCATGTGTGGAGCAATTTTACGCAGAAATTCAAGAATCAAAGGTAACATTGGATACATTTGGATTGGCCAAATTTACATAATTTACCTCAGATTTTTTACTTGCATGATTTAGTTTATTGGAACATAAGGGACTCATTTATTGTGAAATGACATGCATTTATGATTACAAAAAGCTGGCAGAAAGGAGTAAGTGGCGGATGGTGCTATTTTGATGGACACATGCGAGACCCATTCAAGGCTAAAGTACTTCATTCCCCCAATTTGCTTACCTGGTCAAACGAGTGGGGCCTTCACTTTGAAAATTAGTTAGGATTTCGATTTGAAATCCTGATTTACGCACAGAACATAGAACAAATAATAAAGCAACGCGGTGGTAGTAGTAAACAAGCATGCGCATGTTTTCTTCTTTGTGCTTCCGTTTGCATGATGAAAATACAGGTTTGAAGGTATACCTGCCAAGTGCTTACAGGAGGTTACAACTATATAAGTAGGTGAAAAATAACTCAAAACGAAAGGATTATGGGAATCAAACGATATTAAATGTTCATAATAGTCAGGCACAACATACCCCTTTCTCCAAAGGTAGCATAAACCGACGCTACTAAAAAGAGGTTTTTTTTAACTTAGCAGCTAAAAAAAATTAATATAAATTCACCCATAATTGAATTAACGCTGGCGTGTATTTCTATAGGTATTGAACATATGATTGGCCATTGCATCTCTCATACCGATCCATTGGTTAATCACTTCGGGAGGGGAATGTAGTGGTTGTATCTCCGAATAGGGAGGAATTGCACCATTTGTGTCTAGATCTCCTATATCGGGATTGGCGAAATAATAGTCATTCGGTTGTTGATCTCTAATGAAATTGTGCACAGCACAGCAGGCAATAACAACGTTTATCTGAGTAGTCATCATGTAGTAGGGTATGGCGCCCCGCAAGATAGCAAATCTCCTTTTAAGAACACCAACTGTTCGCTCAATGACATTGAGGAGCATAGAATGTCTGTAATTAAAAAGTTCCTTGGCCGTGGCAAATCTCCCCCTTCTATGACCACTAACATCCGCTTGGCGTCCTCTATAGGGTGGTAAGAAACCGGGTAAGTTTCGGTACGCGGAATCAACCAAGTAGTATTTGCCTATACCAAACATATTGTCAAAAATGATAGCCATTAGTAGTGTGAAATTATTGCTAAATAGAAAGAACAATGGTTTAACTCGCATACTTGGGGGGGGGCATTGGGAAATGATTTGGGCCCGTTAGAGCCCCATCTAAAACACGAGCATCATGGGCACTTCCCTCCCAACCTGCATACACGTATACGAATCTCATATCATGATCACATACAGCCAACACATTTTGTGATTGCACTCCGTGTCTATTTGTGTATGCCACCTGCTGTCCACTCGGAACAGAAGCGGGTATATGTGTCCCGTCAATGGCCCCAACTGCGTCCTTTACAAAAAAGCAAAAAAGTTAAGGTGGAAATTTTGACGAATTTAATGAATTAAGGCAATTACCCACAAAATTAGTGTATTATTAGTTTTTTCCCACAAACTAAATTTGCTTAAAAAACATATTAGGTAAACAGGTTAATTAATGAGCAAACAAGATGACGAACTATGATTACAATAATATTAAAATATATTACTTAATGAGCGAAGTATTTCATCTTGTTGATTAGTGGGGGTTTTAATTAAACAGATGTATACAACAATAAATTAAAACCCTCAATATATTTCATCATCGGGTTTAATTAAAACCCCCATATATTAATTAATTAAAAAATTGTAATGATGAAATCACTACAATAAAACCCCCATTAATTGCTCATCCAAAGCAACTGATGAAATAGTTCATTAATCACTTCAGGACCAGGTGATTACTTCATCAATTTTGAGGCCTGCGATGTTTCTTTTATACGTCTTTGCTTCATTGGCTCAAGCTTTTGTATTTGCCTATTTCATGATGTCACAGAAGCCCATTACTATCTCTTTCCTCTAATGGACTTCCAAAAATATTGAGGCCGTTTCTAAACCAAGAAGGGGTTTTGCGAATAATGGGCACGGACCGGGTTTATAGCTTCTAGTTTGGATCTGCCACTTCCATTATTCTCATTTGCTCTACAAATCCTGTTATTATCAATTACTATACAAACTAATATAAATATGAATTAAGGTTTCATATATATATATATATAGAATAATTGTGATGTTAATTGGTACGTTAGTAGAAAATCATTTAAATTATATAGGTGTTACTTGGATTTTTAATTTCATCCTGAAATAATCTTGTTTTGATTTTTTTCTTTAACAAGTTCAT